ACTCCATTCAACACAGTAAATTGCTGTCTTCCTTCTAGATAACTCTTCATCCACTCTAATAGGCCACCTTTGATGCCGAAATTATTTTCCAGTTTACGCCCCAAGATGGCGTGCGAAACGCTATCGAACGCCTTTTTGAAATCGATAAAGGCTACTGCCACGACCTTACCCGAGTCTACGGCCTTTCTCCACATCTCCGTCAAATGAACCAACAACAGTTCTGTTGAATATCCAGCACGATATGCCCATTGCCTTTCTGAGATTAGATTATTGTTCTTAAAGACATGCTGCACCAGTCTGTCGTTAACCTCACTTTCCAAGATCTTACTCGGGACACTAAGTAAACTGTAAACCACCGAACCCCAACAACAATAAAAACATTAGCAATAACAAAAACAAAATCAAAACAGCCACACAGAATGTCGTCTATCTGTTAAGGCCGACACGTTCTTCGCATTTTACGGTGAAATATCTCGTCCTGCTGACCATGTGTATTTACTTTCAGCTTTTACTGAACATCAACTTTTCGTCTCGTACGACGTCCATGGATGTTCAACGTAACCTGGAAGCTAACGTTGAGAAGAGAACTAAAGATACGTATGGACCACCCATGGGCAAGAGGTTACTGGTCTTCATGGATGACATGAATATGCCTCAGGTAACTGCTGCTTGTAGGAGCTCTGGACACCAGAAGCTTTGGACACCTCGTTTAGAGGGGTTTTACTTGGATCGTGAAACAGTTTCTAGTAGTTAGTGTATAATAGTCAAATAGACACGAATTATAACAATAAAAATAGGAACTACAACTACAAACCTCTAGTAGTCTACTAACTATTTCACGGTCTGAGGAAAATCATTTTTTGGAAACACGCGTGTTGTGCCTCCTGTCATGGCTGCCATCACGTGATGGTGCAAAGCCTCTATATCTGTTATTTAACCATTGTTCTTGTAGGTTGATGAATATGGGACCCAACAGCCAATAGCACTGTTGAAACTTCTGCTGGAAAAAGGCGGCATGTACGACCGGGGGAAAGAACTCATTTGGAAGAATGTTAGAGACATTGGTTTTGTCGCTGCCATGGGAAAGGTAACAGATACAGTAATAGATTTGGAAATGCTCCGTGTGTTAATTTTTTTTTTCATTGCTTGTCGAGGTTGCTGTTGTTATTGTTGTTACTTCTGTTGCTGTGCTGTTGTTGTTGTTGTTTTTTTTCATTGCTGTTGAGGTTGCTGTTGTTATTGTTGTTACTGCTGTTGCTGTGCTGTTGTTTTTGTTGATGTTGTTATTGCTGCTTCTGTTATTGCTGCAGCTGCTGTTGTTTCTGCTCTTACTATTGTTCCTTATCATATCACAGTTCAAATACTAATAATCTTTTTTTGAAATGATTTTTCCAGCCGGGTGGTGGTCGTAACGAGGTGGACCCTCGGTTTATCTCTCTCTTTAGTGTGTACAACATCACTTTTCCATCTGAGGTCTCCCTTCGCCGCATCTACTCATCCATCCTCTCTGGCCACCTCCAGTCCTTCCCTAAACCCATCCAAGATTTAGTAGAGCCAATCACTACATCCACACTCGAGTTCTACCACAACGTCGTACGAGAACTGCCTCCAACTCCATCAAAGTTTCATTATATTTTCAACCTGCGTGATCTATCCCGGGTATACCAGGGGCTTTGTCAATCCACGCCCGATAGGTTTGACACCACGGCCAAGTTTGTGCGAGTATGGAGGAATGAGTGTTTGAGAGTGTTCTGTGATCGACTCACAACTGAGGCTGATGCCGAAACAGTCATGGTAAGTAGAAATGTTCCAATGAGCAAGATACCGTTTTAGCACGTCACGAAATCTCTTAATTGTAGAAAGTAGGAGCTCTCTTGTCGCAAAGAAGATTTCGTAGGAACACCATTCGCCTAGCAACTTGTGCAACAACGTTAACGATAACTTACACTATATATTTGCCCCTTTAAAGAATAGCTGATCAAAATCTGTTTGTCTTATTTATGATTGATATCATTAATTGTAGGGTTTTCTTCAAAGTCTGGTCGAGAAAAACTTCAGCGAAGACACGGAACTCGTTATGCGAGACCCGTGTCTATTCGGAGATTATCGGAATACTTTGACCGAAGACCCGAGACTCTACGAGGATGTGGTGGATTACGATGCTTCTAAAGCAATATTTGAAGAGGTAATTAATACTTTAGTACTATCGTGATGATGACGGCAGAAAACATCATTAGTATGAAAAAATGCAAATGACGACGATGATGATGAGGATGATAGTGATGATGATGATGATTGTGATGACTACGGTGGTGGTGACGATGATGTTGACAAGATGGTGAAGATACATGATGATGATGATGATGCATGGTGATTCTTGATGATGATGATGCGTGACAGTCATGATGATGGTGATGCATGGTGATGCTTGAGGATGATGATGATGCGTGACACATGATGATGCATGGTGATACTTGATGATGATGATGATGATGCGTGACACATGATGATGCATGGTGAAGCTTGAGGATGATAATGATGCGTGACACATGATGATGCATGGTGATACTTGA